ACCCATCCAAAATTTCGCAGAACGAAAAGGAAAGTTGTTTTTTTTTAACGTGAAAAACGGACGGTCCTCTCGTCTCTGTGAGGAATGACAGACTTCTCTTTTGGATAGATGCAGAATCTAGAGCAGTGATGGCGAACCTTTTAGAGACTGAGTGCCCAAACTACAACCCAAAACCCACTTATGCATCGTTGAGTGCCGGATGGGTGTGGCCCACTGGGTGGGCGTGGCCCATTGGGTGGGCGTGGCTGTGGTGGTAATGGCAGACTGGGTGGGACTAAAAAGTTCAATCAATCAATTCCAACTTTGCAAGATCTTTTTTTTTTCCCACGAGAAGTTGAAATTGACTGATTGAACCTTTTTTTTTTTCCAACATGGCGGCGGAGGCCTAAAGCGAAAAGGTTTTATAAAACCCAGCTGAAGGCCTAGGACTGGGGTGACGGCACGCGTGCCCACAGAGAAGGCTTTGAGTGCCACCTCTGGCACCCGTGCCATAGGTTCGCCACCATTGATCTAGAGTTTCTCGAGCTTGGCCATTTTAAATGGGGTGGACTTGGCTGGGGAATCCTGGGAATTGAAGTCCACCCATCTTAAAGTCCCTTTTCTTCCTTTATGGGGGAGTTGCAATCCAGGTCCCCTGCTTTGCTTCTCCTGACCCAAACCTCCGTGGATTGCAGTAACCACAGCAACGGGGCAGCTTCCTAAGGCTGTAATTAATTGCCTGAAAAATTCATAAGGGAACAGCACCGAAAACTTGATCCAAATTAAGACAGAAGGACCAGTTTAGGCTACCTGGCTAAAGTGGCCCTCTGAAGATTGCTCCAAACACTGGTTCGGAGAGAAGAAGCCAGGAACCAAGCAGAGGGTGATCCTATCACGGGATTTCTGGAAGGCCTTCGTGCCAAACAGAGCTAGACTTTGAGCAAAACCTCTCCAGGACTTCCTTAGTCAAGCCAGGAGCTTCTGAGGTCCTCTGATGTTTGTTGAGTCCTTCTGATGGTCCTTTCTTCTCCCATGCAGGATGCCAGGCCAAGGTCCAGGTGTCTATGGTGGCCGAGATGGAGGTGGTTATGGGCCAGCAGGTGCCCATTTTCTGCTCTTACACAGGGATGGGAGAGCAGGATTACCTCCTGGTGGAATGGTTTACTGTGAGTATTCTGCATTTGCCAAGGAGAACAGGGCACGGGAGTGTTGGGGGGGGGTCCCGGATGAAATCCCCCTCTCTCTAGGAGCAGAGGCTTTCCTTCAGGGTTGGAGAAATCCATAACTATGTAAAACTTCCAGCTGGACAAGAACGGGGAGCAGCGGCGTGTGGCGTACAACGAGAAGGGCAAGGTCGGCGTGGACAGAGGAACGGAGTATACGGACCGCGTCTTCATGGATGCCAACAACAGCCTGGTCATCACTGCCATCGACGTGAACGATGAAAAATTCTTCTCCTGCCAAGTCACCAGCGGTTCCGGAAGTGACACCGGAAGGACTCAGCTCAAGGTCTTCGGTAATAAGCGCATTTATATTGGTTATTTATATCCCGCCAATACTATTTTTATAAATAAGGGAGCAAACATTTAATACTCCTTCTGTTTTCCCCACAAGAACCCTGCGAGGTGGGTTGAGCAGAGAGAATGGGACTGGCCCAAAGTCACCCAGCTGGCTTTCATGGCTAATGTGGGACTAGAACTCCCAGTCTCCTGGTGATTGGCTCAAAGTCTCCCCTCTGGCTTTTGTGCCTAAGGCAGAACTAGAATTCACAATCTCCTGTTG